AAAATAAGCAACTTACCAACGCCCACACAATAGTTCTAAAATGTTTGTGGTATAATTTTCCCAAACCTCAGACGTCCCGATATTATTAAATTCAGAACCAATTTAGGTGCTGTCACAAAGCGACAGTTACCCAGTTGGCATCAATCATAATCAGGGGCCAGTGACTAAATGCAACTAAACTGGAATTATTTGGGCTGCGTTGTCCGAATGTAACCATTTCGGTGCAACTCCCTTCCCTCTGGTCTTCCGCCTTTCGAAACGATTAAGTGATTTCGTGCGCAGTGCATGATAATTGGATTAATATGCGTCGACAGCCAGCAGAACAGAGCATTGAAGTCGGTTAAGCAGGAGGATGAGGTTGAGGATGAGGACGTGGCAGAAATCGGAGAAGCGAGGGTGGTTTGTGGGTTCTTGGGATTTGGTCCGGAGACTCGTTCGGCGGGCAAATTACGAAGGCATCCAAGGAAGCTCTTCCTATGCAGAACATTCGAGTTGGCTTTTTTCTAGCTGAAATTTAACACGGTTTAAAAATAAGAAGGAGGAACTTCTCTGTATATTTAATGTTTAAACTAAATAAAAGGCATCGTTCATAATTATAGAACTAATCATTAAACTAAAGCTAATTCAGAAAATAAGAAAAATATTGGATATTTTTTAAGAATAATAAACGGTACAATATTATTTTTAATAAATTAACAACGGTTTCCTTTTGGCACTTTTTAAAGCGTATTCTCTTCTTAAAAACACATAATAGTTGATTTTAATTTTTGTAAATTACTTTAAGTTTTTTTTTTAAATTATATTATTTATGAATTATTTGATCAATTTTTTTTCGCTTAAATCCACGTTTGGCTACTTTCTAGAGTTTTTAATACACAACACTGCCTCCTCACTCCACCCTTTTTGGGCTAAATGCTCTCGTTATCAAAATTACATATATCATAGCGCACTGTGCCGAGGGGTGGAACGAATGGGATAAACAGAGAACTGCCGCCTTTTTCTGGCTACGGGTGGTTAACACCCCCCTTATAAGGGGTGCAAGTCAAATCAATTTCAAAGCAAACATATTCTCAGTGCCGTAATTGGAAAAGTCGGGGATTAAGCGATAAAGTTGTATTCTTAAATTGATAAGCAGAGAGTTGGGGATTGCGAAGTGGGGGTAAGGAATTACGACCAGTACTTTGGTATTTAACCCTTGGCTTTTATTCGTTGAAGCCAGCTTTAAAAAAAAAGAGCCAGCCAGCGGAGGGCCAAACAATTTGTCAGGCGAATCCGGCTGATTGGTAAATAGGCCCTTGGTTAAACAACTGTTGGCCACTTAGCGTTTCATTACCAAACGCTGCCGCTGCACAAACAAATTTAACCGTTTCGATCGTTTTTTTTCGGGTTTTCTGGTTTCAGAAGCCGCTTCCGAAGTGCTTTGTCTTCAAGGCGGTGCGATCAAAAAAGGGGAAAAAATTAAAGAAAATAAAAGGAAAACAGTAGAAGACTGTTTGACAAGCCAATGGAGCTAAGTGCGATGGTGGCTTTGATCTCCGAGTGGGCTGCCTAATTTATAAAATAAATCATATGTGAATTAGCGATCAACGGTGGGTAACTCGTTTGCGTTTGCGTTCAACGTCGATTTCCTTTTGATTAATTTATTTGCTAAACTTCGCTCCACTGCAGCCCATTATGGCCGCGTTGTTGTTCTCGGCGATCGGTAAACGATTTTCACACCTCACCAACGGGTTTTCCTTCTGGCTTTCTGGCCATTTGGCCAGCTGATTAGTGGATCGGGCTTTTGAACTAACCGCCGCTATTTATTACCTCTCAGGCACTTGTTGTCTAATTGCCAAAGCCACCCGCAATGGCACGTCTCCATTTCGTTGGGAGATGACGATGATGAGGTTGCACTGGGGGAAAAAATAGTTGTTATAAAGGAAACTACATTTTTTTATGAGTTCATATTCCTAAAAAAAATATTCAGAGATTCTTATCCCCATTAGATTTTTCTACATAACTTCCATATTTCTTTTCAATTTTTATCAGAGTAACTTATAAATATTTACAGAACGTATCAATAAAATAATTCATTAATAGTTATGCATAAAAAATAAATATAAATATTTAAAAATGTTCATTATTATCCAATTTAAGCAATCTAAATTGTTAAAATATTTATGACTAACGGAAAAATTTATTTTCCTTATTTAAAACTAAAATTCTTCTCAGTACATTTCTAGTAATGTCGCGTTCTCCTTTTCTGTGGCATTGGCCAATATGTGGCACTGGGTGAAATCATTGGCATCGTCCGGCGAAAGGAAAGTTTCTCTTCGCGCCTCGATGTTAATTTCGGGCCGCCTTTGAAGCCGATCGACAGATCAACAGATCGCCTGGCTGAAGCTGGAGTTTCTTCTCCGTTTTCGATTTTATTATGATTTTGTTATGATCGTGATCATGATCTAATGATTTGTTGTCGCACATTTTTCGGCCTCGCCAACGACAGCCAAACAAAAAAGGTCCAATCCGCGCTCCGATAATGATCTGGCGCAATAAAATTGAAATGCGTCTGTTAATCGCTCCGAGATACATAATAATTTTGTGCTCCAAGCAGCCACAATGGCCACGATAACGAATAACGAATAAGTTCTGTCGACAGGCCGCCGCATATCGATCACTTTCTGGATTTCGGATTTCAGGGGGACTCGGATTCGTACGGATACGCAAAAATCACAGCGGCAGTTCGAATGCAAAAAATTGTTTCCTTAAGTCGACTTGGGAACACGCTAGATTAGCCTGATAAGTAATATTTATTATAAATACCCAAAATAGTATCAGGAAAAATAATAGTTGGTATTCAAATCTCTAAATAATTTATTTACCTCTAAAAAGCGTAATATTCAGTATTTATAAATGACTAAAATCATTTTATATTAGTTATTTGCAGGACAGATTAGTCAGTTTCATGACGATTATTTGACTTTATAGGTTTTTATAACTCTAATTAAATACAGGAATATGGCTTTCGCTAGAACTATAAAGTTGATACAATGAAAAGGGAAACATTTTTTCACTATTTCTTGTCAATTATGTTTAAATTTATAAAAATATTAAGAAACAGCATAAATTACTCGATCAATTACGTGTTGTTTGTACTATCACCATCCAGATTACGATTGCAGCCACCCGTTTCCACGTGCTTTCGCGATTAAAATACACATTGTATAGTATCTGTAGTTGAGTGTCTGTGGAATTGCGCGAGATAAGACGGCCTAGTTCAATGTCCCGCCAGATTGTAGGGCATTGGGCGTAATAAATCTTGGGCTTTTTCGGCCGCGGGCTCTGGGCCAACTCGAATTCAAATGGCCATTGTTTTGGCCAAAGGGCCGACGACAAATTCGGAGAGCAGACTTTTCGGCCTGACTCCTGATAAAAATCGGCGGGCGCAAGCTGCGATTACTGATCTTCTGATCTCCGATCGACAATATTTATGGCTCCGGGTGCAGCCAGAAAAATGTCTTAGCTAGAAATTAGAGCAATTAGCTTTGAACCGCGGCTGCCACATAAAATGAGAAACTCAAAAATTCCGTATAAAAAAGAAGGAAACTAATCAATTGAAATAGGAATAGTTGATGACCTTTTCGTTATTTTTTGTGGGTGTGCCTGTCTCGAGTCTCGGCTTGTAAACAGTTTCACTATCTGATGATTATGTAATTTATAGGGTTCCTGGCCATACCAGCTACCTGTACCGATCCGTCGCGAAGATAGTGCCACATAAATAAGTGTGTCTGGCATAAATGTCAAAGGGCATTTAATGAAGTTATTAAACGCTGAGCTCGTAGAACCCGGGGCTACCGTTTTCTGGACGGGGGCGTGCTCGGTTCAGCTTGAGTTTAGTTCGGTGATCATAATCTCAGGACCACTGAGATCCCCGGGTTCCTGAGTCTCGAGTCTGCTTTGCATGGCGGCCAAAACTGGTTGGGCAATAAAACGCTTGCTATAACGAGCAACAAAATTTGTAACGATTCAATTTAAGGCTACATACAACATGAGCCGTACGCCGTCGGCAAAAGATGAAATAGTCGGAATAGGTACAAGTATAGTATCCTAGCCCCCCGGTTCCCCAGCCTGCCCCCCCTTTTTGTGTGTTTTTGGCGCATGTTGAGGAGCTCGGACTCCGATTCCAACTCCGACTCCGAGCGGCGGTTCAATTCAATGAAATTTATGAAGACATGACTGGCAATTGTAGTCCCAGCAACGTCGGCCGAAAACCAGCTCCACAAAAAAAATAACCCAGAGTTCGACGATCCTTCGACGCCTACTTGTTGGCCATTGCGATTACAACTCAATTGTGGCGGGCCAGCTCTCGCAATTGTCAATTGCAATTGATTTTCCAGCCAATATTTCACAATTAATTAAGCGCAAAATTTGTGAACAAAGTCTGGGTGTGTCGGCAGTCCTTCAAAGGGAAGGCCTACAAGTAAATGTATCGCAGGTCAAGACAACAAGATGCGAACTGATTTCCGTTTACCTGTACAGGTCACTCGATTTTTACTTCTTTTTTCTTGGGTGTGGATGGGACAGGTCAAAGGATGGATAGCCCACCATTGATAGATGCTCCGATATCGTCGAACATCTCTATCCAACTGTGGGAAAAGCGGAGAAACTCTGTGGGACTGTCGTTAAACGAGGACATAAAAGAAATTAGCTGGATAGTTTCGGTTTCGGCACTGATATGGCACCGCATTTCGGGTGGTCCATTTTGGGGTTTAAAATGTAGATCTATCGTTGGTTTATTTTACTCGAAATCATATTAAAGTCGGTTTGTAAGTAACAATTCTATTGAATGCTGATACATTATAATTTTCAAATCCTGTTTAATGCTGATTTTTTTTTAAGCAAGTTGCAATTGTTTTAATAATATAAAGAATGTAAGCTTGTAATCTTTATTATAATTTTCAAATTTTGTTTAATTCTGATTTTTGTTTAAGCAAGTTTGCAATTTTTTTAATAATATAAAGTATGTAAGCATGTAATCTTCAGGCACAATCTAAATATTTTTCATTTTTTTTTTGTTCAATAATCTTATTAATATTTATTTTCCAGTGGTCCAGTAATCAGGAGTAGTAGTAGTAGTAGTAGGGGAGAGTGGGGGAATTTCGTCAGCATTTTTTCAAAGCTATTTTTTGTCCATCTTGAGACACGTTATCATATTTCTATTTTTATTGTTGAATGCGGTTAGCACCAAGCTTTAAAATGTGACATTCCCCTATTTTTTTAATTAGCTTGGTGATTTATAAAAAAATAAAATGTAAAACCAATATACTGGGGCAATCTCACCACACAGGGGGGTAAAATCACCACACAACTGGGGAAATTTCGTCACCTGAAAAATGTAGGGAGTTTAACGCCTGAAAATATGCTACACTGATCAAGCGTACCATTTTTGTTGACGTCCTATATTTGTTGCTGCTGCTGGTAGTCTGTTCGTTAGCCAGCTCGTCAAATATAAAAATATGTATTTAAAACAGGTGCGAATTTACCCTTAGCGTAGGGTGGCGAAATTTCCCCAGACCGTACTTTTTTAGAAATAATTATTTTTCTTGCGAAATTAGGCGCGAAGTTAAAAATCACTGACGCAGAAATGCACATTATAGCACTGTGTATTATATAAAAAATCGTGTATCTTATTCCTTTTGAATTGTGGCATACAGAAAAAATTTCGTCGAGAACTAAATGTAGCTTTTGAACTGTTAAAACACATTTAATATTATAGCTTAATTATCTTGGCCTTCTGTGCAAAACAAATGCATTGGTTGTGTCTGGCCGTCTTGAAGGACTAAAACAAAAAAATTATATATTTTTGCGACTTATGGATTCCGAGATATTGCAGGTGACGAAATTGCCCCTGTGACGAAATTCCCCCACTCTCCCCTAGTAGTAGTGGTAACAGTAGTCTCCTGTGGAATAGGGGCTCCACTGAGACAACTAGTCAGTCCCTCGTAGGTGGAGGCAGTGCCCTCCACATAATCCCTATCGGCCAAATTCTTGCAGCTTTCGCGCTGAGTATTCAAAGTCTGGAGATGGATCTTGATGTTGGCGGCTGCTTCGGTTGCATTTGCCGACACTTGGTACATGGTCTTCGATTGCTCAGCTCCCTAGGAAAAATAAAAGATCATTATGATTTATATCAAATGCTGAGACTTATTGTTCGGTATTTAATAAATACTATTTATACATTTTACCAAATAAATTCTTATTTTCAGTCAACTTACCACATTGGCGAAACACTCGAAGGCCTCAACATAGTCCACAATGGAGGAGCAGTCGAAGAAGGTTCCACAGCCACGATCTCCAGCTGCCTGGATGCCATAAAGAGTGCTGTTCCACGCCTTGATCACGAGCTCATTGCCGGTTTCGTAGTCCCTTTCGCAATTGTCATAGTCCAACTCCAATTGGGCAGGCAATCCGTTTAGAATGGGATTGTAGTAGTCGAAGCAGGACTTCGAACTGCTGGGATCCCGAGCAGCCAGCATCTCCGTCTGCTGCTGAAGTCCAAGGATCTTCTTGTTAGTCGGCAGCTTCAGCTTCGAGGCGTTTAACTTAAGGTTAATGCTTAGGCCAGAAACCAGGCCAAAGGCAAGAATCACTGCCAACAGAGAGGATCGGGAAAACATAGCTAAAAGTCTCAGTTTCAACTTCTTACTGGATACCTTGGCTATAAACCGCAGCGCTTTTATATACATTGCACCAGCTTCTTATCTCTATCGGCCTTAATTGCCGCTTGTTGAAGGAAATGTCGAGCTGCGAATGTTCTTTATTATCGATTTCTGGTAATTGGTAAATAATTTTTAATTTAACTGCGAACAAAGAAAATTACGTTGTTAGGAAATCAATTCTCGAAAAACTCGTTGGCAGTCACTAACTTCAATCTTCTCAGGCTCAGTATTTATGCTTGCAAAATCTATCCCGATACAACAAAATGTTCTTGCTTTGAATTGAAATTAATTTTGAAATAAAAAATAACGCGGATATAAAATGATTTAAAAATTGTATATTAAATTTGTTAATGCATCAATTTCTTTAAATACTTTATGTGTTCTTTAATCACATCGGTATTTGGGCTGAACCAATAGAAATAATAGTCCAAATATTGAATGTCACAGTCATACCTCGTTGAGCTAAAAATCAAATTCAAATGATTGGAATTTAAAGCATTTTTTTTAAACCTGTTGTAACCACTCTTCTAAAACATTCAGAAAGAAAAAAAAATTACTTTTTAGTTTTTCAAAACATTATGTATTTGTTATTTGTAACAAGTTTAAGCAGAGCATAGCATTACTAATAAAAAATCCTATTTTGACAAAGAATTCAGATCACTGTATTCCACCCAATCAAATCAGATTTTACCGAAAACCTTCTTAGGCTCATTACTCAATTCCCAATTGATTTGCAAAATTAGAAAACATTGACAACGAAAATAACTTATTCTAAATCGGCCAGAAATTTGTATTGATTAATTTTTATCATTTTTAGCTGATTTTACTATATTTATGGCCGAACTACAGAAAAAAACAATATTAAAAATTTAATATGTTTGAATCATTAGATAGTTGTAAACATAATTATGTCTAAATCAAGGAACCATCCCTTGAACTTGGTTTAATATAATAAAACAATATACCAAGCAGAATAGCTCTGCCAAAATATACTACAAATTTACAAATAATCTATAAAATGTAGTAAAAGTCAAAGTTAGATGGCCTGATTTTTCTTTATTTAACTCTTGATTACATATACATTTTCTATGCTATCCTGTCACTGGATCTTGTAGTTGTTTCAGGAATTTCATCGATTCCGTACTTCAGGCAGTCGTTCAACCTTTCATAGGTGTAGGTGGTGTCCTCCACATAATTTCGGTTGGCATCATTGGTGCAAATCTCCATAAGATTTTCCAAAACACGATATTCCTCCTTGATCTTGACCACAATCTCCGTGGCATTGGCGGAAATGCCGTAGAAGGTTTTCGAGCTCTCCCCGGAATTGATGGATGCGCATTCGAGGCGGGAGACCACGGTGTCTAGGTTCTGTTGCTCAAATGTCCAGACCTGACAATTCGTATTGGGATACGAGCAACCGATACTGGCAGATCTCAGGAGAATTTCGCGATCCGCTGAATACTTTGCATTGACCAAGGCAGTGGAATTATCTTTGGCCGAAATGCAAGCCCCATAGTTAATCTCAAACTCTTTCGTAATGCTGGCCAAAATGGGACTGTAGGTCAGGAAGCACTTGTCGGAGGCACCCGAGTGGGTGGCAGCCAGTTCCCTGCTCTCCATCTGCAACTCCTGGATGTGGGCGTTGGGTCTAATGGGAATATGCAGTTTGAGCCCCAATGAGAGGCCCAAAAAAAGGCAAAACACCAGAATCCTAGTTTGCTTCACGAACATCTTGGCCGGATAACTTTGCGGAGACGGTAGAACCAGCCCGTATTTATACGCAGAACGATCCACTCTTTGCTATCTTTTCAATTACATATCAATGTTATGTGGGAATGTTCAATTACTGATAATAACGGGTTCAATGGTTGACAATGCTCTATAGGTTTTGGTTCAAAAAACTTCCCGATGTTGGTTAACTTAATTAAATGCCGTCAAAATAAAAACAAACTTCTCTATGTGCTGTTCAAAAGTATAAATGTATATTTAATGTTAAAAATGAAATAAATTTGGTACTAGAATTTCTTTATTGGTTGTATTAGTTTCCCTTAAAAAATAATACAATATTATTTAGTACACGAGTAGTATTAATAAAAGGCTTTTATTAACAGCGGTAAAGCATCACGAATACATAATTATTACAGTGAAGTGCATATAAACTTGACTTTTACAGCGCAGAGTCGGTGGTGGGAATGTCCCAGTCGGGATCATTCAGACAGGAAATCATTTCGTTGTAGCATTCGCCGTGGTTCTTTATATAGGTTCGGTGGGCTTCAGTTTGACAAATAGCCCTAGTCTGTTCAATTTCAGACACTTTTCGTTTCAGGCTAGTGTTGTTATCAGTCGCCTTGTAAGAAGCCTGTTCAAGTTCTTTGGATGCGGAAGGTCCCTGTCATTGGATGGGAACAAATATTAATAAAAATATGGAATAAATCAGAAAATAAAAATAAAATCTCAGAATGTTTGAAATCACCCTGAACTGCACCTTAAAGTATACTTTAAAAAACAGAATTTTGTCTTAAAATATTTTGCTGCATACTTTTAGTCACGCTTTCAAGAGATTTCAAACCTCTAGAAATTCTAAAGTTTTTTGTAAATGGTCCAAAATTGTTTCACTTACCCAGATGGCTAGACAATCGAAGGCATCGGAATTTGAGGTCTTTCCATCGCAGGTAATCAGGGATATGCAGGTGTCCTTTACGGAAATGGTCAGTTCGTCGCGGGCGCCCTTGAAACTTTCGTCGATCTCGGACTGGCCATTATCGTACTTGTATTGGCAAGCGTTGAAATCATCTGTGTACTTATCGACATGCCCCTTGAGGAGGGGGGTGTAGTGTTCCATACAATCGACGTTATAGACATCCGCTCGCATGGCCGGAGTATTGAGCAGGAGATTGATCATCGAGGCCTCCGTCTCAATTTCGGTGGGAGTGGGAACGGCAGCCACGTAGACGGCGCCAATGGCCAGCAAAAGAGTCACAGTCTTGAACAACATTTTCACTTTCAGCACTTGAACAACTGGACAAGAGTGTGGAGCCCAAAGACCCAGATTTGTCTTTTATACTACCCACTCCACCCGAAAAATAGATTTCTGAGATTTACAATCCAACAATTATCGGGTGTATTTTTTTATTCAACATTTATTATCATGACGCTTTGTCGAAAAGTCGTCAGAAAATAGTATCAGTAAATCCCCCAAAAATCCACCTACCACATTTATTTTCTTTATTTATAAATAAATAAAAACAATTTACGAATGAGTTAAGGTTTTACTATTAATTCATATTTAATTGCATTCACAATTTTCTGTAGCTAATTACGTCAAATATACATAAAAATGGTCTATATATCACGGTTTTGTTATCTATTGGTAACAAAAGCTTATAAATATTAATACGAATTATTAGTGATTTAATCGACCTATTTCTAAATGCGAGTACTTTATCGGGAATCGTAGCAACGCAGTGGGCTTTTTTCAAGTTTGTGCTGATTAGTATTAATTAGTCATTTTATTTATTAAAAATTGCATTCCTTTTGAGACAAATAGAAATTATACTGTGTATTCAAAACAAGGTTCATAAATTCGTGCTCGTTATCAGGTTTCCTTTTCACTCACACACTATTATCAGTGATTGAAGTTCCCAATAAATGGTATCAGGTATTCGCAGAATTTAATTATCTACATTCATGTGATACTATATTAAAATCAGACCCTAAGTATTTAAAAAAAGAAAGCACTTTTTAAACTCATAAAGCCCTAATCGAATACATCTTCACGACTTTGATAACTTTTTAAGATGAAAGAATTGGTAGGATTTTGTCTTCCTTTACGTTTCGTAAGACGTTTAAATGATTTTAAGGCTGGGATAATGTTAGCCGTTTGTTTTCGGCTACTCCTACAGAATCGTAGAGTTGGTTTAGATTTGTTTCGTTCGTTTTCATCACAAATGTTCCTGCATGGATTTTTTGTTAGGAAAACACTTTTCTCCCTCTTCTGCATGTGACTTTTCATTTCAATTTCCAAGTTCATATAAACATCATTAAAATCATGGTAACTCACCTAAAAAGAAAAAGGCATTCAGAAACTAAAGTCATCATTAAAATCAGTGTCATTTGCATTAAAGAACTCACGAAAAATTCAACAGTGCCACGCAATTCGAATGGTGGATGAATTTTAGGATCCCTATAAAGCTTCAGACTGTTCCAAATATCTGTAACGTAATCTTTACTAAACAAGTTATAATATCTATAAAGAGAAGCCGATCTCAGGTTTTGGCATGATTCAAGGAGCGCAGGAAAAAAGTTGCTTTCATCTTTCTCTGCGCAATGGGTCGATAATATTTCCAAATCGTGTAGATGTTTAAGTTGGATCAGCATAGGAATAAATTTCTTTTCGGCAAGACCCAGTCGTAGTCTGGTCAACCAATTTATTTTCGTTAATTCAACAACATCTAAAAATTCAAGTTCGGTGTCATCTAAGAACAAACCCCTAAGACTCGATAGAACTTTGAGCTCCTTGAGAAAATCCCACATTGAATATTCTTGAGAATTATTTATTTGCAATTCTGTAAGATTACTGAGCGCTGTTATATATTTAACATCTTCCACTTGGTAGATGGCGCACTCCAGGGATTGCAGTTTCTTGAATTGGGATATCAGTTCTATGTCCTTAGTTGGAAGTGATAGCGAGCGTAGTCTTCGAGGAGATCGTAATATTAAAGACCTCAACAAATTATCAACTTGATGTGCATAATCAAAATAAATACTCAGTTCCTCAAGGTTTGGCAAATTAGCCAAGAGTTCCAAATTTGATGGGGTGTCAAGTTCACCCGAATAACCATCGCTAAGGTTTGATGGGTCATGGCTGAATGTAAAGGTTGATTGTTCCCAAGTTTTGTCAGCGGGTATTCCTAGTTGTAATCTCTTCAACGATTTAATTGCAGCAAGCTCGACCATTTCTTCGGAAGTGAGGCTCCAATGAATACTGAGGCTTTGAAGTTTTAAATCTTCTTTTGAGGCAAGGGCTTTTAAAAGCATTCTTGAAGATCCTTTCATTGACCATCTTCCGGTGATAGTTAGTGACTCAAGATTATTTAACTCGGCCAAATGATAAGGGCTTTTCGAATTACGAAAACTACATTTAAGATATTTTAAGCTTTGAATTTGTGACAGGCTAATGACGTCTTCGGTGTCAAGAAGTTCAACTTCCAATTCCTGTAGATTCTTGATTAATTTAATAAAGGATGGAACTCCAATGTAACCCTTGATTACAAGAATTTTCAAGTTATGAAGTTTAGCTAAAGGCTCGAAAATATTATCCTGATCTTCTGGAATTCCATAGTAATCTAACTTTTCAAGGTCTAGTATTAGTTTTACAGAACTTTTTCTATGTATAATACAGATATGAAACCGATCTGATATGATTCGATCCACTCGGTTTGTGAACTTCATAAACCCATTCAGTTGCCTTCCCTTCATGGCGATTATTTCCTTCAAATTTCTATGATCACAAACAATTGTAGTTAGAGATCGAATGCAAGCTAGTGTATTAGCATCTTCCAGGGTAATTGGAGAGCACTCACTGATATCTAACTTTCTAAGAAGCTGTGCTTCTTTAATTGCCAAGTCTAGAAATACATTTTTTAGTATGTCACCCTTAAATGTACCACTTGCAAATAACAGTCCGATATTTGGTAGCTGGGCAATGCGATCTATGTAATTGACAATGTCGCCGAACTCATCTCTAATTCTATAATTATATTCATCGTAAAGTGACACTTCTAGTCTGCCAAATTTCTCGGCCAAATTAATAACAAAACCATTGTCCTTAATATTTACTTCAAACTTCGTTAGCAATTCCTTTAATTTATCGACAAATATGGTTTGATCCGGACGAACCTTTATTTTGACTACTTTGAGACTCCCAGAATTTGCTAAATTAGCAATGCTCCTTTGATCACTAAAACCGCACGATAAATCTGATAAATTGTTAATTTTTGATATCGCCTGCGTTTCTACTTTACAGAGAAAAGTGTCCGGAATATCTAAAGTATGAAGGATCATTCCTTCGAGACCTTGAAATAGCTTTACCAGAGTTCCCTCTCGATGGTATCCTTTAAGTTGGAGGATCTTAAGCTGAGGTAATTTGGCCAACGCAACATATTCCGAAGCATCTATGTCGGGCTTCATAGTTAAGTCTAGATTTTCCAGCCGGTTACAGTATGGCACAATATCCGAAAACCTTCCATTTAGTTCGGTATTGGTGAATTTGATATGAGATAAATTCGGATTAGAACAGCACAACTGCACCAAGTCTTCGGCATCCATTCGAACATTCAGTTCGAGAGTTTTCAATTGGCCGAACTCTGGCACATTTTGAAAGCTATATCCTGTAAAAGTCACCAGTTTTAAATGAACTATACAGTCTTTAACGATCAAACTCACCCAGAATATTAAGAGTAAATGCTTCAAGAGTGCTCTTGGTTTTGATGGCATCCATCAGTGCCTGAAACCTATCCAAATGTTCGGGATAGTATTGGGTTGGGATGTATCTTAAGAACAAACTCTTTAGTCGACTATTTTCTTGGATCGCATTAATATACAATTTCCAATATATTTCAATATTTTTTTTCGAAACATTTTTCAAAGACTCGTATATTTGCACCAAATCGATTATTATCTCATCTGACTCTCCCAAAACGGCAAAATCAATGTGTAGTTCGTAGTAAATGTCAGAGTTCCATTGCTCAAAATCATTGACAAATTGCTTGCAGCTAATTACAAAATTTATAAGATCCCAGTAATTTACAGGTGCACACCTGTTTGGTAAATCGGTGTCAATCTCGCAATTTCTTTTGATCTGACGAAAAATCTCGTATAAACAAAAATGGTTCAGCTTAAATATTTGAGTGCTGTTCATATTAGCCATTTCAGTCCAAAATTCACAATTTTTTCAATTTTTCGCAAGCCACTGATTAGTTGCAGATCTTCTTTTTAATGTGCTCCTCCGTTTTGTTTTTATTTTTGTGACTCACTACTGAAGTCGAAGAGTATTATGAAGATTCGATTTCGTACCTTATTCAGTTTTATCACATTTTGTTTCTTAATCACAGCAAAAAGTCCTAAAAAAAATTATACATTTCTTATTATCATACATTATTATTATCAAACTAATCACTTGCATTTGTCAATATTTTGTTAGCCGAATAAAAAACATATACTGTTGACTCAGATCGCGAGAATGACTTACTAGCTAGAGAGAAGGGGTATTTTAAAGCTTTGCTTTGGCATAAAGAGAGAGAAACGTTTTCGCAAGAGAAACGTTTTCGTGGTTTCATTCGTGAATATATAATTCTTTCTATACGCTATAAAGAACTTTACTCTTTTTTTTTTGACTGCATATTACTTGGCAAGTACAATTTTTTGCAGTACTGCAATGAAATACAGCGTGTTGATTTTCACTAAAAACAATGTTTTAATGTTAAACTTTTAAACAAAAAAAAATAAATTACATGCTTACGTGGGGGAGAATCGAAAATCGCCTAAACAATATTGACTCAATATATAGACAAGTCACAGCACATTTAGTACAATCCTCAAGTTAATTTTTTTGTTAATACATACAAACCAGTAACTTCGATTTCGGTCACCTTTGTATAATTGTCAACCAATATAAACCGAATTTTAGATAAATGTATTCTGTTTATTATTAAAATAGGAACAGCTGATTTATCAACTTACATATAAATATATGTCCCAAAAACCCAGGGACGCATTACCAATCGAAATAATTAAGAAAATGGCTAAATCCAAAGCTTGAAAACTATTAAAATAAATCATACACAAAAAAAATAATAATATTTTTCATAAATTATGTTTAAGGAAATACTTTATCAAAAGAGGTTTTAAAATAAAATTTTCTTTATATTTGCTACATTATGTTTTTGTTACGTTTCAAAAGAACAAAACGGTCGAATATTGTTTAGCTAAAAATCAAATATTTTTAAACACAAAAAAGTTTTAATTTATTGCCTATGAAACATTTCCCTATGAAACATTTAAACATTTATTAGAGAGAGTTAACAGTCACTTTAAACAACATTCTTATTTTTAAATTTGAATTAGTAACTAGAGACGGCTCAAAAATCAAACGATAGGTGTGTGTACGCGCTATGTCACAAACGGTCTTCCCAAAATATTGGGTGTGTGACTCGGCTAGCATTAGGGATGTGCAAGCATCGATAGTCGCCATTGAGCATCGATTGGCGCATCGATGCTTCTCCACCTCTACTATTTATAAATATTCGAAGAGCAGGGCGATAATTGTGATTATAAGCGTTGTGCGATGCTAGCCAAAGTCCCGAGGAGCCTGTGAGTGTTCAGGATCGGGCCGAGAACGGAAGAGAGTCGCCTCGAGGATAGGCAGGGATTAGCATCCGGGATAACCACCAGCCAGCGTTTCAGGGGCAACAACAAAAGAGACGACTTCTCACCGAAGTGACGCCATTTTCTGTGCGAATAAAGAAGCAGGTGGGGCAGCCAAACCCATTAAAGCGAGATATACACGCCTGTAGGATGAGCAGCCTGATCAACTTCCTCAACCCGAAGCTCAAGCCCTCCGTGGAGAGCGATGCCGTCTGCGAGGATGGCTACACGGCGGCCAATCTGGTGGCCGACGACATGGAGCAGCTGGAACGGGGATTCATGTGCTTCGCCGTCTGCAAGCCGCCCATTGAGATTGTCTTTGACTTTCCCAAGGCGGTGGACATGAAGGTCATCAAGCTGTGGCCCTCCTGCGGCGCCCTGCGCTCCACCGCCTTCGAGCTCCACGGACGACACGATGGCATCTGGGAGCGAGTGGCCTTTGTTCGCGACTTGGGACGCGGTGTGGATTCGGTGACCTTCTGCTATCAGAGCGACTACAACTCGCGGAGCAGCTCGAATTCGGAGCAGAGCGAGAAGGTGTTCTTCTTCAAGTCCGCCCACAAGATCCTGGCCAGCACAAATAGCGTGAAGGTGGTGATCCGGGCCACCGAGCGATGTCCTCCTGTCCTGCGAAAGGTGCAAATGTGGGGGCTGCCTGCTCGTTCGCTGGACAAAGCCGATCGGGAGCTGGTCAAGAGCATCTGGAGCGAGATCAGCGATCCCTATGGTCAGAGGGACGCGGCCCAGACGCCCACGGGCCAAAGGTCGCCGCCGCGTCATGTGCCCGAACTCAGGGAGCAGTCCACACTCTCCATTCCCGAGGAGTTCCTCGACTCCATCACCTGGGAGCTAATGGTAAGGAGTATCGGTTTATTTGCCTGCTTTAAATTCTCTTACATGCGAATACATAACCATGAATCAGCGTCGGCCATTTTGTCATTTTGTCGATTCCACTTCCGCAAGAAATGCATTGCAAGGTCAATTCAATCTGGTCTGAAAATCCTAGAAAATATTATTTATTTCCTCTCTGAATCATTCTTCCGTTTGCTGAAATCATATAAAATCATTATCAATGTGTCTACCAAGGAAATAACGAAATCGTCAGTCGTTCAACCAAGAAATATCAGTTCTTAAATCTTTAAGCAAGATTATTCACCCTAAGATATGATAAAAAGAAAGGTTCAGCGATTTCTAAAGAGAATTTCAGTTATCTTTTTTTGAATGTGAATATGGAAAACGAAGAATATAGAATATTTTAGAATAAAAATATTTTAATACCTCTCCCTTCCTCTAAAAATCCTAGAAAATATTATTCTTAATTTTGATTATAAATTGATTATTTTCTGAATCATTCTTCCGTTTGCTGAAATCATATCAAATCATTATCAATGTGTCTACCAAGGAAATAAAGAAATCGTCAGTCGTTCCATTAAGAAATATCAGTTACTAAATCATTAAGCAAGATTATTTACCCCAATATATGATAAAAAGAAAGGTTAAACGGTTTCTTAAGAAAATTTCAGCTATTTTCTTATGATTTTTATAGATTCTAATACCTTTCCCCTCCTCTGCAGAAATTTACACCCTAAGATATGATGATAAGAAAGGTTCAACGATTTCTAAAGAAAATTTGATTAATTCTTTTTATGATTTTGAATATGTAAAACATAAATTATAGATTTTAATGCCTTTCCCCTCCTCTTCAGATCTTCCCCACCGTGCTGCCCTCTGGAAAAGTGGTGGACCAGTCGACCATAGACAAGCACGCCGAGGAGGAGGCCAAATGGGGCCGCCAGCCCTCGGATCCCTTCACCGGTCTGGAGTACAATGCGCAGCGCAAGGCGATCATCAACCTGGCTCTCAAAGCGCGCATCGAAAAGTTCCTCATGGAGCACTCGGAGCACTTTAAGGCGGTGCCGCGCAGCCTGGGAACCTCCCGCCTGCGTCGCCGCCACGCCTCGCAGTTCGCCAGCAGCACCTGCCAGCCGGGACAGATTAGCCCGGCTGCGGGAACCTATTCGGCGCTGAGCAGTGCCTACAAGCAGCAGCAGCGGAAGAGCAGGGCCACCGCCACGGCCACCTCCTCGTCATCGGCGGCGATATCCTCGGGGGCATCGCCCCACTCACCGCCGGCGGCTAAGAGGGCGAGGCACAGCCATCAAGGGAGCAGCAGCGCCTGTGCCACTGTCACCTCGGCCGCCACCACCTCCATCGATCAGGCCATTCAGCAGGCGCTGCAGAAGGTGACACGCTTCAGCCAGCTGGCGACGAACTCCAGCACAGCAGGTGCTGCTCCTCCTCCTCCTCCTTCGAGCTGCATCAACTGCCGGAGCGCCCAGTTTGGCTACGAGATACGCACCTGCCGCCATTTGGTCTGTCGCGAGTGCCTGGTGCTCCTCTCGCGCGACCAGCAGTGCGTCTGCAAAGTATTCTTCCGCGGCGCCGATGTCGAGCGCTACCACAAGCTGGATCCTTAAGATCGCTGCAATAAGCTTGGTTCTCCCTTAGAGTTTGTAAGCCAGTCGTCAGTCGTCAATCGCTTTAGCCCCTAGGCCTCGTCTACTTTAGTTTATAGTCATATCAGAAGCAGGAGTCGGTCTGTAGAGAAGCCAAATGTGTACACGGGCGAATCCTTAACCGATTCGTCGGCAGTATGTATCAGTATCAGGTCACACGTTTAGTCATAGAGCAGATTACAGATTACGGATTACGGATTACCGATTAGCAATAGAGAAAGCGCGCCTAGTTTTTGTAGACACTTTATATACAGTCCCCAAAAGACAGGATCAGGATCAGGATCGTTCAGCGCGAGTTTATATATTCATACCACTTATACCTAGAATAAAGTACAATAAAACTAAAGCCGATTGTGTAATCAGAGTGACAGCCTTGTTTTTGCGGTCAAATCTAAATTGTTTTTCAAATTTGTTTAACTTATTCATTTTTGATTAGTTCAAATTGTCTTTAACAAATTGTAAATTTAGCTTATTTCAAATTGTCTATAAAAAATGTTAATTTCGATTTCAAGAAAATCTACAGTTTTCATTAGTATTAAAATCGAATATTTATTTTTATTCTGTATCGTTTACTGTGTATCGCAATCGTTTAGTTATATTTTTGTACGTTTTATTATGTACGATATACTTTATTACAACACTCTCAATAAAAGAATATTAAAAAAAAAAAATAATTTTATTATTTGGTTGCAGTTTTTAATAGAATATTTTTAGTTTCCAAAATTAGATAAATATTTCTGTTCTTAATCCACAAAAGCACTTGCATTGCGAATTACTTGCACAATTTTTATTTGAGTTATTTTATTTTTAAATCAAATAAAAACTAATTTATAGATTTCTTTTTACGTATGTTATTTTACACAATGTTATCTACATTCGAATGTGGCGCCCTCTGTTATCATATTCTGGAACTTCTATTCTAGCCTATCGATATCGATACAAACAGCTGTTTAAATTCCGCTGCCTTGTAAACATTTCAAAATCTATTTGAATTTTTTGATTTTTCAGATTTTGAATGTCCGGAGAGGCAAATAACACCCCGCAATCGGGCCGAAGGCCGCGCCTCGGATTGGGCAGGCGTGGTTGCCAATCCACGCCCCTAATGAGACTTCAAAGGGAGGAATCCTCTGGAAGTACCCCAAAAAATGGCAACCAGGAGACTCCAAGGGCTTTAGCATTATCCCTAAGCGCCCGCAGGATAGGATTGTCCAAAAACAGGACGGAATTAACCAAGAAGAAGCTGGAGTTTGCTGTGGCCCAGGAAAACAAGGAAGAGGAGCATGAAATTGTAAAGAGAACAGCCAAAAATGAGATTAAGAAGCCGGATAAAAAGAAAAAGGATCCTGCAGAGCATTCCCATAAGCCAGAGGATGAAGAGATGCCCCAGGATCCCCAGAAGAACCGGTTAGAAGAAAGTCCCCAGAACAGCAAAATCACAGAGCTCCAAAGTGATGTAGAAATCTGGCGCCAGGCATTCATAGCCTCTGTGGACGATCTCCTGGCGATGGCGGAGCCAGGACTCTCGAAGCAGGACCTCCTCGCCCAGCTGGGCATTCCCCTCGAGATGCTGCGCTACCTCGAGGAGGAGGACTGAACCCTAGTTAAACATAGTTTGCCATAAGATTTAACATTAAGAAACTGTATATTCCCAGTGCAACAAGGAGGAAACTCAAAACCTATCAGCAAAACTAGTATTTGTGCGGGCGCACGGGCCTCTCGGGATCGAAGAGCTTGGGGTCCTGCAGGAAGTCGAGGTCCTTGTGATAGCCCGGCATCAGCAGGCACTGCTGGGCGCGCAGGATGGCCTGCTCCACCTGCTCCTGCCGGCGCTTGCATAATCCGGTGATGTGCCGGCCGTAAATGCGTCCCGTGTAGGGCGATTGGAACTGGGACAGCAGCTTGACGTTCTTGTAGTGCGGCTCGATGCTATGCTTGCACAGGATACACTGCTGGGGGTCCTTTTCGTAGGGATTCGTTATGTCAATGGGCAGATCCGAGTTTTCACTTTCCGCTGCAGCGGAATAAAGGCGGCTGGTGGTGGCCATTTGCTGTCTGCCCACCAGGTTGACCACCGTGGCTATAGAGTACATAATTAGCAAGGTTTTCTTATAATTGTCCTACTTTTAACTCACCATTTTGCGCCAGAAATTTACCTAATTTAAGCATATTTATTTTTTTATTACCAATATTTACCTCGTGCTATCGATATCGATAGAGCGATAACAAAACAGCCCCTTAGCAGTGTTGGTAAATGCCTGCATGTAACATGTGTTCTACCATCGATATATCGATAGTTTTGCTGGCTAAAAATTAATAAAAACACAAAAATGAAACCGAGATCCCAGAAGACCCAAGGAAAATCTCATGGAAAACCCCAGGGAAAATTCAATAAAGGTCCTGGCAAGGTGGCCCACAATCAGAAGCCCTATTTCAAGAAGAAAAACCAGCAAAAGGGAAAAGATGTAAGTGAGAAAATCAATTAAAAGGAAGTGGTATACACACATGTTTTTTCAATATCTTGCAGGACAAGCCAAATAAACCCGAGATCCGGAATATGAAACGTCAGGAAAAGGCTTCCCAGGAGAAAGCGGAAAGGGAGAAAGTTCGGGCGGAGCGGGATGCCCAGATAAAAGCCTATAAAAAGAAGCGCTTGGAAAAAACAAAGGCCATCAGCAAAAGGACCCAAAAGGGACAGCCTTTGATGAAGGATCGCATGCAACTCCTTTTGAAGCAGATCGAGGAGATGAAGGGCCGTTAAGTGAGTCCCAGGACGTCTTGTGATATGAGAAACACGGAAAAGGGTTTTTTCATTGACATCAAACTCGGTATGATGGATTGATTAGGCCCAATACTATAGGAACTTTATCTATAGGGCTCACAAAGAATTGATTATTTTTACAATAGCCTTACTTTATTTTTAATTAAAATACATTGTTTTCCACGACTATATTCGTTTGTATACTATTTCCAAGGTTATAATACTAGTTTTCATTATTTCAGGTATTCCGTCAATCAATTTTCTTTAGAAATACTCAAGATTACAAAACTTTTTATTGAGAAAAAGACTAATAATACACTGTTTGAAATATAATAGGTTATTTTCCTCTTCATTCTGCCTAAAGTATAAAATTTTTTGTTTAAATTTTTGATTCATATTTATTTTTTTCTGACAAGAATGTTCCGTTAAGTTTTTTAGAGTACAGACAGTAAAAAAATATTTGATGGCCGTCAGCTGGGTGATGGACTTATCTCGCGTACATCTAGGGCTTCGATTCTAGATGGATGAGGGGTAACTATCTGTACACCTGGAAGTGCGACTACACTCTCCTCGCGAGGGCGGCCGGAAACAGGTCCTTTTGGCAAGGTCATGTCTCTGCCGAAAGGACGCTGGCGAATGGTAGTCGGGCGAAGAGAAGAAAACTCTGGAAGATCACCCCAATCCAAGGCGGAACAGCCGGCGCCGAAGGATGTGTGGCCGAGGGGGAACTCGGTTCTTAGCCGGCGAACTCTGCGCACCTGTCGACCCGCAGTTTTAAGCTCCAGACTTCCTGCGGCATCTCGGGCTCTGCTGTGGGCGACCTTTTTTCCCGTGTACTCGTGGGAATCAAATGAATAGCTTAGAAGAATATGAGTCAGATGCTGCTCCCAAAGCATCAAGAAACCAAAAATCAGGTCCTGACTTTGTCCGGTTGAAAACCAACCAAAAGAAGATGCTGCGAAGGGCTCTGCAAGAAGGTCTCACCAGAGAAAGGGCTTTGGAATTAGCTCTAGCTATTCCCGTTGCCAGGAGTCTCCTGCCTGCTCCTTATGGCATACAAACGAAGTCACCCTATCCTTATTCCACTTTCCTGAAATGTGTAAAAGTCGGCTTGTCACCGGCGATCCCTGGAAATCCCCTGACCACCGAGCAAATGTCCAGGATCAAGGAGGCCATCATCGATGTCACCGTGGAGCAATCCGGCAGCCAGAAGCCCCAGTTCGAAGGATGCTTTTGTCGAAGAGGTTGGCTTCTCATAATTTGTTCGGATATAAACACCTCGGAGTGGCTGAATCGAAACTTATGCCACATTCAATCCAAAGTAGACGTTAAACTGAAGCTATTAAAGGAGTCAGAGCTACCGAGAAAAAATGTGGTTCGTGGCTACTTTCCAGACAGTCTAACCACTAGCAATAAGAAGGTCCTGGATATTATAGAGGCCCAGAACTCAGTTTCAACCGCAGAATGGAGGGTCATGAACCGATTGACCCAGGGTGATCTTTTGCACCTTGTCATGGCAGTGGACAATGAGTCACACAGGAAACTGGTTAAAATCGGTGGGAACATCTCTTACCGATTCGGACATGTAAAACTTTATATGGATAGGAAATCGGTTTTAAATGGCAGAGAGAAAAAATCGAATATGGAACCATTAGAGAAGAAATCCCAGGGAAAATCAGCTTCAAGCCAGACAAATGTGCCTCTACTTCAAGAACCTGCAATGAGAAATGATGGTCCATGGAATTTCTGTGATACTCCAAGGAATACCTATAATAATTCATGGAATCAACAGCCAAACTTCACTTCAATTCCCATTAATCCTAGTGAATATTTACCATACTTTAGGTCTCCAGAATTCTCTGGATGGGGCTTCTGGAATGGAGGATTTTCTAGAGATCAATGTCAACCTGAATGAGTTCGAAAGTCAAGTAAGTTGTTATTTAAAGGAAAAGGATTTAATAAGTTTTGAATAGAATTAGCTGGAAATGTCTTTTGATATTGGTGTTCAATACTTTCCACTAATGAGCTTTATTTTCAGAATCTGAAAGTGAGATCGACGTTTCCCATGCGAAATTTCTAGTACAATTCGTGTTTTTAAGGTATTTCGAGTTTTTAATGAGTAGACATTTATACAGGACTCTTTCAATTTCCACTTCCACCAACAACAAAATGGAAACTATTTAACCAATAACACTAGCTTGATTTTGCTTACAGCAACCGAAACAGTCTGATACAGTAACACCTGTTACACTAAGATAATCCAGTATTGATGGACAAAAATCAACCAATATAAAACTAATCTGTAACACTGGTTACACTGAAAGGATCCCCAAAATCATAAAAACAGTACCTGGTACAAAAATTCTTAAAATTTGGGTATAAAAGCAGATCTTACCCTGAAAAGAAAATATTCTATGCAATCATACCTCACTTCAGAGTCCCGCATATCATTATAATTTTCCCCCAAAAAAAGTATATTTTCTTTCAGTAGTACTCAACTCCGACAAAGCAATAAAAGCAAATGATGATGGGGAAAAATATGCCATTGAAATCTGTAAAATCCCCTGGGTATTCAGAATATCAAGTTTTCCGCGCACGCTCCTTTCGCTAATTAAATCTAATGCAACCTGTAATAAATTCGCTTGTCGCACTTTTCCGGCCGTGCGAATCAACCCTTTTTTTCGCGAGTCTATGCAAATTTTTGCCGGCAAATTGCCCTGGTGCCATTGAGCCTTATCATCTATAGCATCCTGAATCCTGAATCCTGTACCTGCCAGAGTCACCCTCGCAGATCCTCCGATTCCCTCGCGATTTCGCGAACAAAGCAATTTACTGGCAGCCACGCGATTCAATTTTCACCAAAATATTCGGCATAATAGTAAAGTTTTATGCGAATTCCGCTGGCAGAACATCCGTTTCCGCCTGCCAAAAGGGGGGAGGCTAACTTTGGACCACCCTTCCTTCACTTGAGATTGACAATCAGCATGCGGTCTCATATCCGCTGGAAAAGCAAACAGAAAGCGGGGGAAAACTTTCACTTAGGCGAATATTGCGAAACTATTGGGCTGCACAAACACAACCCGTTGACACAAATCGCACTAAATCAAAAATTATACTTTGCACAAATAAAAAGGGAAGAGGATGGGATGGAGGATTCCTCCTCGCAGGAAGTCTCTACACCCTGTGGCCATAAATCTCATCTAGTCAAATATTGAATTACGCCGGATGAGAAAAAGGGTTCGCTGGCGATTCGCAGATCCAATTTAGTGGGTCAGAAGGATATGGCACATCCCTTTCTATACTCACCGTATAGTATGTGTGACATTTTTCCGGCCATCGCGCTTTGTTCTGTTTATTTAATAAAAATTTCAAGTTATGAGTGCTCAAAGGGTCGTTTATGTGTCGATAATGAATAGTTATGGCCATTCCGAGGGTTCTGATTCATAATGCTTTGTTTGGGTCGCTTATAATGCAATTTATGCATGTTTATGTTCGAGTAGTTATGGAGTTTTGTTTGGGGTGACAATGGGTTAAGGGCTTTGCATTCCTTATATTACATTTTTATTGACAAAGAAAACACGCCCGTTGCCAAAAAAAAAACATTACAGACATAGGTGAGTTGAACATACATTTTAAATACTACATATTTAATTAATTTCAGGTACCTCAAAATATTAAAACAACATTACCAAAAACTTTGTAATACTTGGAAACGTTTTTATTTTGCCTGCTTTATAAAATAAACAAAAACATATGGGCGGTTCTTTTACAAACCGAACACCTTTTATTGGCTCACATTTTTGATTTGCCTGAAACTTTTTTTACACGTACTATTCGGAAAATAAGTAAACACGTGAATCAGGATTTGACCGAAAAAAAATTATTTTCCTAGTTAGAATTTTTTTAAGTGTGCCAAAAATTGTTAAATTTGAAAAAGTACCCTCTCATTGAAAATCTGTATCTCCGGTTATATGAATCCAATTGACTTCATGTCTTTTGCATTAATTCCTCTAAAACCTCTCCTTTCAAAATAAAATTTAAAAAAAAAATTGTTTTTTTAATTTCTTAAAAATAAAAACAAATTAAGATTTAAAAAAAATTTTTAACTATTGCCCCCACAAAAAAAATTTTTTTTTATTTTAATACTTGCGCCATATTGTTAGTTACAATCGGTTTTTGTAAAAAGTTGGAGCCACTTTTAGTTTTTAAAATATCGAATTTGTTTTAGCAAGGCCTCGGCTTTTTTCTATGAAAAAACGTCGCAGCAAGTAGATATACTCTCTCACTCTTATCGGATCCTAATGGAATTTATGTTTTCTCATTGTTTACTAGTCCTTTAACAATTGTTAATGATTAAAAGTTAAGTTTTAAGTTTTTTGACAATTTCTGAATGACAAAAAGTAAAAAGACATTTTTTAATCAATTAAAAACTTACAACTATTTATTTAACCGTCTATTTAATAAACAATAATTTTAAATTTATTTTATTTATTATTTTTTTATATTATGTAATTTATTAAACATTTTTAAATATTTTTTTTTTAAGTTTTTAAAAAAATTTATTTAATAAAAATAAAAAATTATAAAATTTAATTAATTTTTTTTTTTAATTTAAAAATAAATATTTAAAAATGTTTAATAAATTACATAATATAAAAAAATATAAATAAAATAAATTTAAAATTATTGTTTATTAAATAGACGGTTAAATAAATAGTTGTAAGTTTTTAATTGATTAAAAAATGTCTTTTTACTTTTTGTCATTCAGAAATTGTCAAAAAACTTAAAACTTAACTTTTAATCATTAACAATTGTTAAAGGACTAGTAAACAATGAGAAAACATAAATTCCATTAGGATCCGATAAGAGTGAGAGAGTATATCTACTTGCTGCGACGTTTTTTCATAGAAAAAAGCCGAGGCCTTGCTAAAACAAATTCGATATTTTAAAAACTAAAAGTGGCTCCAACTTTTTACAAAAACCGATTGTAACTAACAATATGGCGCAAGTATTAAAATAAAAAAAATTTTTTTTTTTTTGTGGGGGCAATAGTTAAAAAATTTTTTTAAATCTTAATTTGTTTTTATTTTTAAGAAATTAAAAAAAAATTTTTTTAAGAAATTTTATTTTGAAAGGAGAGGTTTTAGAGGAATTAATGCAAAAGACATGAAGTCAATTGGATTCATATAACCGGAGATACAGATTTTCAATGAGAGGGTACTTTTTCAAATTTGACAATTTTTGGCACACTTAAAAAAATTCTAACTAGGAAAATGATTTTTTTTCGGTCAAATCCTGATACACGTGTTTACTTATTTTCCGAATAGTACGTGTAAAAAAAGTTTCAGGTAAATCAAAAATGTTAAATTTTTTTTTTGCCCAAATCTGTTCGGTTTGTAAAAGAACGGCCCATATACAAACAACAAAACAAAATGTTTTAATCATATATTGTGTACACACGGTAATTCTTTTTAAATTTTTATATTTTCTACGACATCAATACAGATTAATTATGGCTCAAAGTAAATAAAAGCCTGTGAATGATCATAGCAACGCCGATTCAGCTGTTTTGGGTTTTTCGTAGAGCCACCGGGGGTTTACTTTTCGATTTAACGACGGATCTCGCCTTTGGTAAAATCCAAGCTGATAAGAGACCCATGATGTCATTTTCATCGGGACTTTGTTGTATTTAGTCGAGTCTAAAATACTTAATCAAGAGTCATCCCGGCTATAGCTTCAGTCTTAATTCAACTCTCAGCATAAAAACAATACCGCTGGATTATATTGTTATCAACATGAAATACTTCAAGTTCTGTTGGCTGCTCATCGTTGTGCTACTTTTCATCTCCTCGCAAAATGCCCTGGCGGCCCCAAAACGAAAACGGAAAGGATTTTCGCTTCCAAAATTACCACATATTAACATAAATATCCACCATAATAGTAAGTAATTATATTTTTATTTTTTCTAGGAAATTAAACTAATAACAACCATTATTTTTTCCCATTTTTAGACATCCACATCGGTTAACAATGGATTTATCTACATACATTTTAGTTTAGCTGTTTTTAAATAACTTAAAGTAATTTATGAGTTAATTACCTACATTCTTGTAGTCATGTGTTCCTCTAAATATTTTTAAAAAATGCCGTGCTCAAAATATATTTTAAATAAATAATAGCTGTGCTTATTAGCAAAATATTCCCATCTACAAATGTACGTCTTTCGTTGTTTATTGTGATAAGAATGATTTATTCGATTTTATGGGAAATAAAAAATAATTTTCTAAAAATAAATATAAAGAAGAATCAGATTCTTCAATATAATTTCTGATTCTGCGCGTCTTAATTAGCAACCAACTCACCTTATGTCTAGATTACAAAATTGCCTTTTTCCAAAAGATTAACCCTTCTCACCCTGGTATTTAAATGCGAAACTTGTGCATAACTCACTGGCTTTCCAATCTTGTTAACGATTCGGTATGCTAATTAAATTCTTGCCAATGCAAGCAGGAAAAACAATGATGTTGGAGAAATTTTCACTTTCGCTGGTCGGAGATAAGAAAAAATCTGCCTGGAAATTAACACCCGAACCGTAAAATGTTTCCCCAAACAATTTGGATCCGAGATCCTGTGCGGAAGGACGAACTTTTGGCTGTGAATTTATGGGCATTTTGGCATGGAGAGTGGAGTATTTGGAGCTGGGGATGCAGTGGCTCTTATCTGGCTGAAATATTAACGGTTTAGGCTTAATTACAAATGGCGACGATGCCCGGGGATTCGAAATTAACTGCCAGGACTTCGGATTTTTCCTCTTAGGGGTAAGAAAATGGGGACGCCAGCCATTAGGGTAATTATTTACAACAATTTCAAATTTTACACATGAACAAGTCGTGAAAAGCACAATAAAATGGGCGCCACAAAATGTTTTGCATGCACTTTTCGTGTTCTGTTTGTTTCGCTTTTGGTTTTTGGCTTTGTTTTTCAAGTGCTGCGGCTCATAAATTACGAAAGTGCGGGTTGTAAATCACTGAATCACCCCTTTCGCTCCTGGCGAATTGTCCATGTAAATTTCGAAATTTCCAACAATTTGCAACACTCTCTCCTTTTTATTTTTCGGCCAGCGAAACACGTGACCAAAAATAAAATGGCAGGGGGTAGTGTGAACAGAACCCTTTGAAAGCTGGCGCATAAATTTCAATTAAAATTGAAAAGCCATGAAAAATAAAATCCCCACAGGGAGAGCCAAGTGATAACCATGAAAAGTTTTTGTGTATGGACTGTTTTTGGGGGCAGTTTTAATTGTGGACAGCAGCAGGTGCAACGAAGCATAAAAGTGGCCCAGAACAGCGGGTCAGAAGAGCCGACAGTTTTTCAATTAAAACTCGAAAATATTTCCAATAATTGCCGAATAAGTGAAACTTTGTCAACCAGCCCCAAAGGGGTTGGCCAAAGGATTAAAACATGCCCCTGAGGAATTTCAATGGAGTGTGGATAGTGGACACCCAGGAAAGGATTTCCCAGATCATCGATTTAGGGGAGATAATCTGGACACGTGGACATCCATCTTTTTTTTTTGTGACTTCCTAAACTAATCTTCATCTTTATTGAGTGGGAGTTTAACACCTACTCTACACAATATTTTAAAAACTTAAGCACCTTTCAATCATTGTTAATTTGAAATTTTAACTGTGTTTTTTTTTTTAATAAATAATTTTAAAAAGTTGAAAATTTATAATTTTTGTAAGAATAATAAGAAAACTTTTGTATTTAATGAGAACCATTTTAATCATATTTTAAAGTTTCAAAAATCGGTTTATAATACTTTTACCAACATATAAACATATTTCACACTTCAGTGGATTGCAGTGAATCCCAGGACATCCATCATCCTATCCTCGTGCCATCCAGGACCTACTTCCGATACTCATCTGCAATCATCTTTATGTACCGGCGACAAATGTCAAAACTATAAGCTGACACTAAACCATTGCGGCACTTCAGCAGCCAACGGTAAACACCGAGTAACAAACATCAAATATAAATCCCCAACCCCTAACGTAAGAAAAAATAAGACAAAGAGGGTGACTGGTCACCCCTGTCCCATCCGAAATTGCTCTTTAACTTGCAACAGTGAGCGGTTAACAAGCGACGCGTGCCGCATCCTGTTTTCACACGCAACAAGAACTAAAGTACAGTTGCCACCAAAGCTGCTTTAGCTAGTGGGCGGGACTGTACTCGTGTGTCATCGCCGCTACATAACCTCACAATGAGCCATGACATAATTCACTTCCTGCCGCATCATCAGCAAGGGACATCCCCCTGTTATTCAGTTTAAAGTCGCATAACTCTCAAATTAAAGTGACCATGCGACAATTTTCAATTTCCACATTGTCCATAAATCAAATTGCGTTTACAATGAGTTAGCCAGGGGGCATTTTCTCGATTCTCGATGGGTATTGGGCGGGGTTACGCACATGGGTGAGGGTTCAAAGCGTCAGCACTAGTACCTTTTGATGGGTTTATTGAAAGACTGTCCTGCATTTGTTGTGTTGTACTCTCTTTGAAAGGGAATAATAGTTTAGAGATTAAGTTGAAAACAACAATATATTTGGAAAATATATTGGCTTGTTGAAAGGTCATTATAAATATTACGAATTTAAACTCCCTTATAATATATTATTATATGTACGATCTCAACTTTAAGGGTATTCGAAACTTTTTAATATCCCAGAAATTTTCAAATGCTCCTTCCCCTTTTATTTGCTTGTTTTCAGGTTTTTTGTTCCTTGTTTTTGGGTGGTTCGGTGTTGACACACCAGAGATAAAAGGCCAAAGGAGGTCCTGTGCCATGTGTGACAGTTATGAGCATCTGCAATCCAATTTAATCATAGAGCTGCTGGCAAAAGGCCTTCCTCTGACCGAAATTTTGGGGCAAAAACACAGCAAATAATCGCATTAGGGCCTTTCAGGAAAACCCAGAGTGGGGGAATCCAGCATGTGTCAAAATTTTGGGCATCGATAAGAGATCTAAGAACCACAGGCACATGTGTGTTGGCCAATTTGAAACATGATTAGCAGTGAATCGGAGTGATAAGTTTGGAAATTCAATTTTTAAATTGGCCCAGGACTTTCTACTCCCTAAGTAACCACCCAAGGGATTTTTTTTTAGGCTGTGCCCATAAATCTGGGAAAAGTCTTAACATGTCAACGACACTTTCCCCAAAACAAGGTCCAACTTTATTCAAATGCCGGGAAGCAACAGGAAGGGCTTGGCGAAGAATTCCGAGTTTGGACTTTCTTAATGTCTACAAATTCCTTTTGGTAAATCCAATACAAAGCCCACTGACTTTGATTTATCACGGCGGGGCGTGGTATTTTTAATTTACAAGCCCGTCGAGTTCCCGTTCCCCCAAACCCAATCTCTTAACCCTTTGAGAGCCGCCTGTCTGCATAATTATGTCCGTGTGCCCGCAAATTTATGGACCTGCCAACGTCTTACTCCTGCAACTCCTGCGACTTTCACTTTGTCAAATGGGTTTTCTTGTAATTGGCTTCGGTCTCGGTTTCTACTTAGTTTTGGGGTTCCTTTGACTCTGACTTATATGATGGTCAAGTGGTCAGTCTGGTATTTTGTTTTCCTGATTAATTTGTGGTGGGATTTAACACTAATTCCTTGGCTTCATTTATTTATCCTTCCCAAAAACTGATTTATCCTTGTACACAGGAAATTATAGCTTGTGATTAATATTATTTATGTTTTTGTAAAATTTGAGAAACATATATTGTTTTCAATATAAGAATTACGATGAAAATACAAAGATATATTTTTGGGAATATATAAAAAAAATTAAAAAATTAAGTAGATATTTTGAACAAATTGCCTGACGAAACTTTCTTGTCAGAATTGTGAGAATTGAAACCCACTCCCAGGGAAAACCACAAATGATGACTGCATCAAGTGAGGTTAAACTCAAGGGAAAGGGGACGACAACAGCATGACAATCGTCGAGAGCAATTCCTGTAAAATTCTATGACTTCGTAACTAATTAGCGCAGCCCATAAAAACAATGAAGGCAACGCTGAGGAAAAGCGGGAAAGTCACCCTCTAGGAAAAACCATCCTCACCACTTTCCGACTTTCCTAATGAAGTTTGACGTGCTGATGTGCGGTGACGTTGACGAGGATGGGAATGAGAATGAGGATTTCAGGATATTCAGGAGAACTTCACAGTCAACAAGTGAAAGTCAGCCCGCGGTAAAATTCAATGATGATGGCCCCTTCACCATGATGATGATTTTGAACTGTGACGGAGGTTTGTTAAGGGGCCATAAAATGCATTAAAATTAAAAACGTGTTAAAATGCTCAGGACTCAACTCGCGCAATCTTTTTAATGAGCTCTTAATGAGGCTGCCCGGCCAAATCAAGAAGCAAAAAAAAGTACCAAAAATAATTTGCGTCTCATTTGCTCAGTTGTGCAACTTAAAAAATCGTAAATTATAAACAAATTTTTAATGAAAAAAACTTCATTCCGGCATATGCTTCAGATCGCCACCCCCTTTTTTGGTACAGAACCCCGAATCCGTATCTGTGTGTGACTTTTGTTGCTGCCCATAAATTATGTAAATTTCCTTTCGAAATTCAAAATTAAAAAAAAATATATATAAAATGGTGCATAAAAAACGCTGTCCTGCTGGCTGTAATAAGGGTGAAAGGTCACGACAAAAAAACAGAGGGCGAGGGGGCGTGGCCAGTAAACATCATAAAAGTGAGAAATATGCCTCTTATTTTGTATTTTGTAATTTGTTTTGTAATTTTGCGCCTTTTTGTTCTGAAATATGAGGAAAAAAATTGCCACATTTACCCGAAAAACAAATGGGATCGGAGGAAATGCGATGCTGGGTAAATGGATTTTTCATTCGATTTTTATACCCTCACCACCGTTCGTGG